TGCACTCATAGATCACAATAATAATTCTCGAGATACACTTTGCTCCGAATTGGTCAAACAAGAAATACACGTACAAACATCGAAAGCGAAAAGAAGCTTCCAAGGCATAAAATTAGGTTAAGAACTTTCTCTGTTTTATATCTCGAGTATCCTTATCAAGGACGCTTAACATCTCGATCACAGAGATAATGTTGTATTAAACTTTTTAATTTGTAATTTTTAGATAAGTCAGAACAGGGAGTCGAAAACCCAAACGGAAACAGTCGGAGTAGGGTAATGAAGAACTGTATACGCGCATGTCGGTGCGATAACGACGGAACAATAGATTTCTGTTCGCATTCGTAACACTCTGAATCACTCGCTGGCACTTTATTAGGACACTTTAGTAAGATGAATAAATTTTGAAGGTTTATGTGAACTCTGGGATGCGCGAAGTAAAATTGAAAACTAACATCGAAAAGTTACAAGTATTTTAGTTCCTACTGTCTTTACGCGTCATTATATTTTGCCACGCAGTGATGGTACAAATAAATTTATAAAACTTAAATTTATCGAACAAAAGGAGTTTTGATAAAATTCAATTTTGTACTGAAATACCAATGAGAAATGTAAAATGTGATTAAGTCCGCTGAGTACTACTGCGCAAGAAGTTTCCAAAACATCCCGCAGATTGGTTGATTTGTGTTACGCTTTCGACCAATAAATTTCGAAATTTAACATCATATCTATGAATCTGATTTGACAGAAAATTTGTTTACTTTTATTTAGCAGCTGTTATCTATGCTAATAAAATAGATATTGAATTGCTGTGAATTTTATAGAAGACTAATTATATATATTTCCGTTGTACTCTGTTAATGAAGTAATAAAAATTTATTAAACTAAGTTGTTCGCCAATTTAATTTAACGTAAGTTGTAATAAAAATTCATATATATATATATATATATACATTAAATTATGAATGAAATAATAGGTGAAACAATAATTTAAAGAAAATTTAAATAAAATTACTTTATAAAACATATTATGTACTTTACTCCGTTCAAATGTATAGATTAACCAAAAAGGAGACTGAATTATCAAAGTCTTACGGTGTTACCTCGCAAAAATTACTGTTGATAACTATTCAGGTACACGTGTTGAAGTATAATTTCTTGGCTTTTAAGTTTCTCTGAAGCCAAAAGTACAAATTTCTGTGCGCTTATGTAAGATTCATTTCTCTTAAATAAAACTCAACATGTCTAAAAAAATTAATTTTATAAACTTTAAGTTTACTTGCATCTTTTTTATTTAATTCTAGGATATCTATACCTTTATCATTAAATATGTTATTTATACTACTTATTTGTAAATTACTGTGTCTGCTTATTCTTTTACCTATTTTATTGATAACATGGAAAAGAATGTATACAAAAATGAGAGCAGAGAGATCGCCAAAAGAAACTGTTGTTGGAATTTTTCATCCATATTGTAATGCAGGAGGTGGCGGTGAAAGAGTACTTTGGGCTGCAGTTAATGCCATACAAACTAAGTATATAAGATTTGTATAAACCAGTTAAATATATATATATATATGAATATGTATATATAATTTTACATATATTTTATAATTTGTATCAAATGTTTATTAGTGTAATTTCAAATCTTCCATCTTCCAGATATCCAGATGTACACATAATAATTTACACTGGAGATCTTGATGCTGATCCAGAACAAATTATCAATAAAACAGAGAAAATATTTAATTTTAAGATTGAGCGTAAAATTCAATTTATATATTTGCACAAACGCAAATGGGTAGAAGCACTAATGTATCCGTACTTTACCCTTTTGGGTCAAAGCTTAGGATCAGTTTGGTTGGGTATTGAAGCTTTAAATAATTTTGTACCAGGTACATAATTATTCTTTGTATAAAATATTTCAAATATCTTTAAAGAATACACATAAAATGTAATTTCAGATATTTATATTGACACAATGGGCTATGCATTTACATATCCATTATTTAGGTACATTGGTGGATGTAGAGTAGCAACATATACTCATTATCCTACAATTTCAACTGATATGTTGAAGCATGTTTATAGAAGAATTATCTCCCATAATAATAGACGGATTATAGCTAGAAATCCATTTCTATCTGCAGCCAAAATTGCTTACTATAAATTGTTTGCACTTGTAAGTAGTTTCAAATTAGAAAACACTTTTGCTTTGGTATCATGATTATTGGCAATTGCTTTAGATTTATGGTTGGGCTGGTAGCTGCGCAGAAATTGTCATGGTAAATTCCTCTTGGACCGAAGAACATATTAATACAATTTGGAAGTGCCCATTAAAAACTCATAGGATTTATCCACCATGTGATGTGAAGCATTTAACAGAACTAAAACTTCTTAATGATGAAGAGAAGGGTGACATTATACGAATAGTTTCAGTTGCACAATTTAGGCCAGAGAAAAATCATCCATTAATGTTGAGGGCAATGTATGAACTTAGATCTATTGTTAAAGAAGAAGTTTGGGACAAGGTAAATTTGATAACATTTCATTAGATATTGGAAATGATTGTAATATATGTTACATTAATATTCTGGAACCTGTCCAGGTTCGATTAATTCTTATTGGTTCTTGTCGAAACGCGGATGATGAAGTATGTGTTAAAGACATGCAGGATTTATCTAAATATTTTGCATTAGATGAAAACGTGGAGTTTAAATTAAATGTTCCGTATTCGGATCTTGTATCAGAACTTCAAAAGGCAACAATAGGGATACATACTATGTGGAATGAACATTTCGGTATTAGCGTAGTCGAGAGTATGGCAGCAGGATTAATAGTTGTAGCTCATGCTTCCGGAGGTCCAAGGTAAAATTTTATTAAAGGAAAAGGACTAAATGCTAAAAATGCTATCAAATGAACAGAATTAAATTGTCCTGATACGATTATTAATAATTATAGAGCCGATATAATTGAAACACAACCAGGATCACAAAATGGTTTTTTGGCAGAAGAGGCAGAAGAGTATGCAACAATAATGGCATACATCATCAATATGCATCCAGAAGACAGAAATACTATTCAAATGGCTGCTAGGTAATATTAACTTAATAATAAAATTTTGATGTTTATAATCATTATTACGAAACTGTTACAGGGCATCTGTAAGCAGATTTTCAGACGAAGTATTTGAAAGAGAATTTTTACGAACGATAGAACCATTTTTTAGACCAAAACAGGAATAAAATGAATTAAAAATTAATTTTTCTAAAATGTATTTCTTAATTGTATCATATTATCATGGAAACTTGTAAATGTAAATAATTAATCTAAGTTTTATATATTAAAAATCATGATATAACTACTTCGAATGATAGAATAAAACAACATTCATGTTACACAACCTTAAGCTGCTGCTTATATTTTCAAAAACAATAAAAATAACAGAATACATCATAAATCTTATTATGCTTACACATGTGCTTTCTATTTAAAAAACACTCATTATAATATAAAGTATATAATCCTGATCTACTATGCAGTTACAGATTTATAACCACAACCTTTACATTCTAAAATATAAGAAATATTATCTCCAACTTCTTTTTCACTTAATTGAAAATGAAAGTTATAATTTTTTAACATTATTTCCACCACTTTCATAGCAGTCTCAGTATGAGAAGTCAGTTTTTGGCGCCCTAGGTTAATTTTAGATGTCCCACTTGCTAGAGCCATGAAAATTATTAACTAAAATACATAATAAAAAATATAAAATTATATATTCAGAACATTTCGACAATAATTACTTTATAGAATGAAATACCTGATCCTGTGCATGTTCATCAACACAAGATCCTGACAAGATTGCATTTAAAATTTCATTAGCTGCCTGTACACCTGGAGCAATTTGTTGTTGACGACCAGAACCCAATCCAGAACCACCAAAACAGTAGTTAGTAGTGGTCAGGCACTGTAAACTAATATCAATAATGTTTGGTTATCAAATATAACTTGTAACATTACATTTCTTTATAACATTTTAATGTCTCACTTAATGGCAGACCCATTTCCATATGCTGTAGTTGTATCCTTCTTAGAGACCCGTATATCTAGCTGTTGATCATTAATATTGTATTGTCTCAAACCTTTAAGTAGAACTTCTTTTGCATCCTGTGCCATTTTATATGCTTCCTATAAAAAAATCAGTATTTACACAAGATTTAAATTATTACCAACATAAAACTATTAGGAAAATGTTGTATATACTTTAATAGGAACAACACCAGCAACATGTGAATCTCCATGTATCATAGTAGGTACACCAGGATTCATTAATGTAACAGCATTTAGAACACGACCAGATGGTACATATACATGTACTTCTCCACCACCTTTTGGATAATAACCCCTCCATTGATCATTATAAAGTTAATATTCTCAAAGGAATCATGTAATCCATACCTTGTGTTAAATATAATCAGAAATTTTCTTTATAACATGTTAGATATACATACCTTTTTACACATACGCAGTTAATATCAACTCCAAAATTATGAAGCAATGGTGTAAACACATTTGTAAGATAATCTATGTGGGGCCCCATGGGGACATTTGTACCACCTTTAAGTATTAATTTAACATTTTGTCCTGGTGGGAAAAAAAGAGCACAGGGTACTGCTACTTGAACCAATAGGCCAATACAACCAGCAGTTCCTATATCTACCATAAATGTACGTCTTCTGTCCATATTTAATTGATTAGGTTTAAATTCTAAACAAGTTGATCCTATATGGGCTCCTTGAACTTCTGCATTACACATACTTTGTAATAATTCAACACCTTTAATAATAATATTATATTAGAAATCATTATAACAATAAAAGTTACTGTTGTGCTGAATTTTACAGAATTATATATATTATAAATCAATAAAATAATCACTTAATTGTATGTACCTTTTAAATGTTGAGCAGCAAGTCCAGGTTTAGGACGTCCTGCTCGTATATTGTCAATCTTAACTGGGATTTTGTATAATGCACTTAGAGTCAAGGCTATCCTTAATACTTGTCCGCCCTGTATAAAAAAATATAAAATTGATCTTATGTCAGTACATTGTGTTTACGATTCATTGACCTCTTAACCAAACAAAAAGAAATTTTGTATTAAATAGTATTAGAAAACGTACACCTTCGCCTAAGCTTCCATCAATTTGTATTTGAGACATCATTGTACGAATAGATTGATCAAATATGTAAGAAGAAATTCGTAGTATCGTGTACAAACGCCATTGACACTTGAAAGCCACTTTTTATATAGTCACTTGAAGTCTAGTCAGGTCAATGCACGTTTCCCATTCTTTTCTACCCTGTCTACGACTCCACCCTTATCAGCCGGCATCCCCCAACAACCCCGATAGCAGCCAGTAATGCCAAAGAGGGGATGAAAGTAACTAATTCACCTTAATTTCCCTATCTGGCTACACTGGTCACTTCAAACTTTCTAGTAATATCTAGATTTGTAAGTGCACACAAAATATCACCAAACCATGTGTTTGTTTATGCATGTAGCTATTTCTTTTCATACATAAACAATTCACAACTATACAAGTACTATGTGTTATGTATAATATTATTTAAAATGCACTTCATTTATTACATTTTCTTATTTGATTAAAAGCAGTATTAAAGTACAGAAATATATAATAATAAAATCACAAGATACTAACTGTTTTCTGACTTTTATTATAAATACATGTTTTCATATAACTGAAAAATTCATATTCAAGATAATACCACTTGACATCGTATGTGAGTGAAAACAATATTTCGATTTTTTTAAATACAGTATGTTTCCATTTGTATTACAAAGCAATAAACATTCACTCATTTTTTTGTTTGATTGTACAGTATTTAAAAATTTTAATAAAATTAGCTACACTTTGTTCACACGAATTTTAACAATTTCTTTGGTTTACAATTGTCCTTTGGAAATGACAATTTCTTTTAAATAATATGTTAACACTTAATCTTTCTAATAAATCTTCACATATACCATTCTAGATAACCAATTCTAATCTTTTGTTCTATTTCACAGTACAGTTAATAATAATATTTTGTATTCATTAAGAGTTTTATTTAAATGCTTTTTTATCATTTTCAAAAGAATATAAAAAATAGATATATAAATGAATTAATATGAACACATATAGTACACCTTACTTTTTAAATATATAATTACATTAAAAAATTAAATGGTCCATAGAACATGTTACATTACTCTTCTTTGAAATGTATTATTGTTTCAGCACTTAAATGAAATCTTTTTCTGTATTCTTCTTATTTACAGGAAAAATAAGTAAAACTAATGACATTGTCTGTTACATTAAAATTTATATTTTCTCATTTTATTTTGGCATATTAAGAAAGAATGTTCATTAGAATTAACTTTTGACAACATAGAGTCATATGTAATACTGGTTAAGGTATGTTAATGAGAAAATGATGAGAATCAATGATTTTTCATGCTAATTAGTTGGCTTCAATATTCATTTAAATACACCTCTGGATAATGATTGGATGTTCAATATCACTCTAAGATATGTAATTTGAATTGTTTTCTGCTATTTGTTCTAACAACAGAATAAAGTAAAATTTAATGAAAGTTTAAAGCATATATGCAGCTTATGACTAGTGTAAACTGGCTAAGGATGCAGAGATACATTAACAATTTTCCTTTTTTAAGACAATCATTACTCCAAAGTAACAAGCACTAAACACTAATTCCGTGTGTAGTTTAAAAATTAGGCATTTCGTATAGAGTAAGAACGTAATGTCTTCACATTTTTACTATCAATATTTTTCGTATCAATATTATACAATTAGATTGCATTTCTTCAACACAAATTATTTTACAATAAATTCGAAGTATTTTTGTTCCATGTTTAACGTGTTTTGAACACTATGAGATTGCCACAGAATCTAACATATAAGAAAAACTGGATAATAAATTTTTGAAGATAACTTTTTAATTTTAAAATGCTCGAGACAATTTCCCTACTATTTAATAATAATTGCCACGATTGAAAACTACCTTAGTAAAAAATTCTATCACAAATTGTGGCTTTGAAATGTTAATCTTATCTTTAATTGTATATAATACTATGTACCT